GAGTTTTAGCATGAAGCTAGAGCTTGTATTTAACATTTTCCTAAAGGTCATGTAATGAAAGCCACATTTACAGGCATTTTACTGTTGTTGTGGAAATTCTTGCCTCGGATTCAGCCTTTTAGATTTTAACAACCTGTTAAACAACATCATTTACTGTGTGTAGTGTGGGTAAAAACATCCCTGTGCAGGCCTGCAGGAAAGCTCCCGTTTGTTCCTGTGAAACTGTTTCCATGACCTACAACTGTTTTTCCTTCCAGGTTTGCTGTTGTGTTTTTTTTAGCTTGGTGATTCTTACATAGTGCGTTTCTACTCTCCTGGAGTACTAGCTAACATTTATACTCCAAAGGATGCATCGGAGAGCAACTTCCTCCTGAACTACAGGAGGTAGAGCAGGCATAACAAGCCATCATGACAAGTACTGTAATGTGAGCTGAAGTACTCTGCAGACTTTTATGCTGCTTATGACGATTAGATAGCAGTCCATCATAAAGCATCATCAAGAAGGTGACTGATGTCTCCTAAATGAATTTATTCCATCCTCTCCTCACACAGACATGACCTCACCAAGTCACTTGTATTAGGAGACGGTAGACACCAATGTGGTCTAAACATAAAGAAGAACTAGGACAAGAGCTCACCAATTTTATTTTATTTTGAAACTCGAGGGAAACAGGTATAGGGTGAAAAATACTGGGCCCATCATAGCCCCCTGAGGAACTCCACTGCTAACTTGTTTGTTTATAGAACCTGTCATGTGATTATGGACTAGAAGATGAGCCGGGAATCCTGTAAGTGCATTTAGGGAACATTTCCAAGGGTCACAGCACCGTGTGGGGCTACGTTGTTCTTAGCGATCTGTCACAAAGCAGACTGAACATCCAACGTGCCAAACCTAGTTTGTGACTTTATGTCTCAGACATACTGGTACAGTTTTACTATTGAAACGTTGAATATCCTGAGATATCTATAGCTCAGAGTTATAGCTTATCCCACATAACCTTTCCACTCTCCTATTTTATTTGTTTATGTCTTATGCTTTTATGATTCTGTAAACTTCTTGCTTTTATGTTGCTTTTATTCTACTGTGTACAGCGACCTTGAGTGTTTTGAAAGGCG